TCTTTGAAACTATTGAAAATTTATAACTTCTTATGAAATTTTCAAAATTTTTCAAATCCCTCATAATTTACGCCTAATATATTTGCATCAAAAATAACGCACTGTCAAATTCGAAAAGAATCGCCAAATGAATGCGAAACACGCAATATTTTTGCCTGAATTCATAATGTCATAAACAATTTATAATGTCATGTTCATTCCTGATGTCATGAACAATTGGAGCATCTCAAACACCCAACTGAACACCTCTCGCTGCATCTGAATTTTCACACATTCTCAATTTACATCCAATTTATTGCATATAATGTAGTTGCAAATTGCAATGGTACACTATAGTACGAATAATAATGAAGTGAAACGAGAGGCATACGGATATGAGGAATCGTTTTTGCGCGTAAAAATTAATGGCTCATATAAATGATTTAAATGAGTCTTGCGGTCGGTCTATTTTAAAGATATTCATGATTATAACACGTAGATAATGATCATAATGCAAACTATTTTGATCACTTTATTCAGTTTCTTTTTTCATCTGGCAGATGAACTGCAAATTATGCGTGCGCTTTGCTTTTGAAGGTGTTCAAAGTGTGCATAATGTGAGCAAACGAATTTTACTTCCAAAAGAAATAACGTTTCGAATGTGCAATGATGCTGACTATAAACTTTTTCGTTTTATGCCGAACATATCACCAGCAAATGGCTATAAACAAAGGCGATTGATTAGATAGGCTATAATATTTTTAGTGGAATTTATGAATCTGGTCTATTTGTGCTCATGTTTCCTTCTGTTTTTGCACAAAAATGTGCCAGATTGCAATGGAAAAACAAGCACTTTTCAACATTTCGAAGTCAAATAACATGTGTTTTCAATTAAAGTGCTCAACTACAAGGAATGTTGAGAATGAAGGATCACTTTTTTGCTTAGCCTATCCATGCCTTCAGAACACCATACGATCAGTAATTTTTGTCTGATGAATTGCTTACAAATCGTTCGAGCAAACTCTTAGTTTTCACTGCTTCCGCGCTTGACATCATATTTTAATGATAACAGTACAATCGTGTACCCGATAGTTAGGTTCAGAAATTTGTTTGAAAGCTGCTGTGAATGCTCGATCGATGGCAATCATACTATTGAGATATTTTGATGAGATTTTTCCACGATCCAAATAATAATGGCTATAATATATGATAATAATAGCAATAATGGTGCTACTGAATAATAATAGTGATGAATGCAAAAATCTGTACACGTGCATGTAAATGTGTATAGCTGCTTGTTTACAAGCACAGCATGCTTGAGCGATATTTTTTTACGATACTGTAATCTCGTGATAGTAACATTAGATTTAATGGCCGACGAGAATCAGCATTTATGTTTTTAGTGGCTGATCGTCATTTTTACAGTTTGCAAAAAAAATATTTAAAAGCAAAATTTATGCGATATGCATAAGCTATCAATGAATACATGCAAAATGTGATCGGGCACAATGAATTTGATGATTAAATTCGATAGTACCGTAATCTGAAATGGCATTTGCATTTACTAAACGTTATCTTTTCACGATACGCCCGAAAGAGTAGTTTTTGAAAACACGTGAACATTTTAGTGTACATTCGAAATTGTGATAAATTTTTGCATGGGAAAAAAAATCACAGTCATCTTCTGGAACAATCAAATGAAGTTAGGATCAAACGTATCAAACGTAAATACGCTCTGATGATAAGATCTAACAAGCTCTGTTATGAGCTCGCACGCATATTGCACTGTAATGCATCTTCCTGAAGCTGTAATCAATGCTTGATCGAAAGATTTATGCAGTTGAAGCTCATGGGAAATTCTCATCTCAATCGCATTGATGAATTGTGGTGATAAGATGTGTTTGCTTTGCATGGAATAAAAAAATTGAAATCATGCGTTTGACTCGAAGTTCATTCTAGAAGTTATAGTTAATCAAGGAGCTAGCAAAACACTCGTATAATCACTAAAGAGAGAGTTGAAGTTGACTTAAGTATAAGTGGAATATTGTAAGGGATCCTACTGAGTGATGTGAACAGATCAAGCAAGTGATATCAAGCTCCTCTCAAGGGTGCTGGACTTCTAAGCCATAAAATCAGCATCTTTATGACATCAAGAATTTCAGCGTTTGGAGCAAGACGTTGTCCAACCGGCCATTGAAGAGCCATTCGAACGTCGAATCACCGAACCACTCGAATACGAGTCCGAACCAGATGACGATCTAATTGCTCCTCCCAAGGAACCCGAAGAAGAAAGCTGTCTTGAGCATGAATTCCGTTGCGGATCCGGCGAGTGCATCGATCGTAGACGGCTATGTGACACTCGTAGGGATTGTCGTGATGCATCCGATGAGGCCAACTGCGTGCAATCTCAACCTCAACAACAACAGCCAGCTGCACCAGCAGCGGTACCTGCTGAGCAACAAATGTCGAATGCCATAGGTAGGTGACGATCGCTTTCGTTTCGAAAATTTTATTTTGGTGAAAATTTTCTGATTTTTTCTTCATTGGGTCAGTTTGTAATTCTGCATGAAATCTGTTTTGCTGCAGGAATTTTTCAGTTTTCATTTCGTTTCATAGCCATATAGTGCTCATTTTCATGTGGATTTTTTGCAGTCGTCGAATTCATTTTGTTTGTTTACTTTACTTCATACAATTGCACGCCAGCTTCATTGCATCGGCTGAAGTCATGAGTTAAGAAGCTAATAGTATGCAACTCGAATTTCTCGCTCACATATCGTTGGAGCTGGCAGCATAAGATGAGGAATATATCATAAGATGTAACATTAGTAAGGATGCAATATGCTAGAAAAGTAATTGCAATTGATAACATCAAGAGATTTGATACCCGAACGCATATCTGCTGCAAATATGAATAGATATTTGAGATATGTGCGGGACCTTCAATGACTTATAACAGCAAATGTGAAGAATGTGAAATTATCGAATGCCATCCACTTGAATCTGAAATGTTAACACATTTGATTCGGTTTTTTTCCGGCTAAGGTAAAGGACTGGAAACCTTTTTGGAGGGGAATCCAGTTATCACGACTCAGCATTTAGCCGCAGAAGTGGCTGCCCTTTCGGTCGTGTTCTTTGCCTTTTCTTGTTTGCGTGATAGTTGCATATGAATTGCATTTGATTTGATGAATGAAATATAGTAAGTAAGCAGCGCGAAATATCAACGTACAATTTAGATGAGAATTCCATCGAAAACGATAGTTGATTTCTCTTGTTTCTTTTTTATTTCACACAAAATTTTTCGTACAAGACGATTGATGGAATGAGAGAATAGTTTTTTGGAATTGTTGATGAATGGTTGTGATATGATCGATTGTCGTTCGTTATTCACATTTTAACGCAGATGGAAAATTGTTTTGTGGTGAAAAATTGATAGTTTTAAGGCAGAAAAAAAAAAACAAAATTCAGTTTTGATTTGATACGAGAGATTAATTGTATGTGTAATCTGCATGTGAGAGAAAGCGCATTACAATTGCAATGAACAAAATTAATTCACTGCGAAGTTTTGTGTTTGACAGTTTCCGTCTAATAGTCATGATGAGTGTCGTCAGTTCGCACCACCCGCTGCTGCTACTGCTGCTGTAATTTTTNTTTTTCGAAAATCTTCATTTTCAAACGGCAATTTGAAATTGGTAAATAGTGAACGAGAAAAGCGCAGTGATTCAATTTGTTTTGCGAGCTGAAGGTTTTTCACTAATCAAATGAATATTTTCCAATTGAATGAACATTTTCTAGTGTTATTCATTAATCAGAATTTCGTAAGAGATGTTTCCATAGTTATTGATCACCATCCGATCGAATGTCGACACATTTTCTGAATTGAAATTACTTGACACTTCAGCAATTTTATCATCCGCTTAACTGCATATTAACTTGGGATTGAGTAAATCCTTGATCTGGTGTGAAAATGCGTGATTTCTTGCAAAAATTTGAAGNAGAACTAAAGGTGACCCTGAGATGTCCAACAAAACTGAGGGCAGTTAGCAATTTTGTAACTATCCGTGAGAAGAATGTCAAGAAAAAAAACTGTTCGACTGATGTAATGAATTGAAACCAACGAATGCATGTGAATTTTTAGTGTTACGTCAGAAAACATCATTTTAAGCAATGCATTCACCGTCGATCGCAATACATTGCCACTGATATCGATGTTGAAAAGTTGTTTAATGACAGTCGATAACATGAAAAATGCTTGAGTGCAGACTTTACTACGATTGTGATTGTTTCGGTGCTGCTTGCACCCCTCTTTATACTGTAGGCTTGAAACCCACAACAAGCATTTGTGATTTGATTTGTCTTCTTGCTTTAAATAATCTCCTTAACGGATCATATCCGAACATGATGATCTATACAATAGAGATCACAACGAAGACAATAATATTGATTATAAGAGTAGCAAGTAACAGAAATGGCGTAAATTGAGGCTAAAACAGTGTGCACGGAAACGTGAGCATTGTGGCCAGCAACGTTACAAACGTTTGATAGCCTGGCCAATCCAGTTAATCCATAAGAGTAGCAGTAACAGTAATAAGCGCCAGTAACAGTACCAATAGTGATAATGACAGTGATAACATTGGTAATGACATCAGACTGATTAATTTGATAACAATAATAGTAAATAAAGCAATCACTAGAACTTGAAAATTTTCCTAACATATGCTATAAATCAAGCAATTAGTGTGGGATTTACTGATGCGAGAGCAAACTTGTTACAATTAAAATGTTTTCTTGAATGCGTGCAATAAACAACACAAACAAATTAAACTTCAATTCATTTCGTTGAACTGAATGCTTTGCGTTTCAGTTTGAGAATAATGCCACCTGTGGTGTTATGCCATATTGTATGGCCATTAAGCCGACTTGAATCGAGTCTTGTGCCGTCGACACCTCTTGGAAGAAGTCTTATTGTTAAGCAATCAGTATTTTGAATTGCACTCCTCGCACCACCTGCCGCTTGTTTCAATTCTTTTGCGTAAAGACGAGAAGCTGCTTTCTGAAGAAAATGTTACATATTCTATGAAGCCGCCTGCATAATCATTAGCTGACAACAGATGAGTGGAGAGCTGCAGCAGCAATAACTATGCATAAACCTAGAAATGTAACGAAAAGNTTCGAGCATTCAAAGCTGTAACATCAACAACAACAAAACAACAACAATATGCACCTCACACTACGTTCGTTAAAACATCCACTGTTAACTGACTATTTTCAGCTATTAAACCGTACTGAATTCAGAACGCTTAAGTAAAAAGAGTGGAAGCATCGGCAATAAACTCATTATACTTGAATCATTGATAAATAAGTAAACAACTTAATCTCATAGCACAACAACAATAACGCATCCTGCATTGTAATACACTTCACATTCGTAGGCATTTTAGCAACGACAATAACAACGTTGATTCCGTTGATACAATCAATTCAATTCGTATCATTGTTTGCCTTTTTTTGTGGATTTTAAAGAGTGACTAGTGATCTTTTTGAGCTGTCGATCAGGTGAAGTATCAATTTGTCCGTTCCTGATGGTCATTTGATCTGTTTTGTTAGCGCTATCCGATTTCATCTGCTTTCGTCACAGATTCAGTTTCCGTCTTCATTACAATGCTAACTTCTCATATCCCATTGTTAGCTTGTCATTTTTTCTGTCGCTGCCAGTCATATCGTTTGCAAATCGTTACAATCGTGCACCTATTCAATTGGGCAATATGACATAGTGTTAGCAAGCGATTGCCTACGAAGATGTTTTCTGTTAAACGTGAATTGATAATTTTGGTGGTTATCTCTCGAGGAAGTTGCTCAGCGAATGGCTTTGCAATTTTTAACGCCAGTTCAGCAATCGTCGCGCATTTTTTGGTCGTATCATATTTGTAACGAGCATTTTTCTGGTGATCATAAAATGCTGATCATAGAGTGATTGCGATGATCATAAAGTCGTGATTGTAGGCATGCATCGAAGTCGTGTCAAATTCATGCTGCAATTGCAATCGCATTCCCAGGCTTAAAATTTCACAATTATTCATTTTACATCAGAATGTCAGCAGCTCGATGCATTCATTCTTTTCAGACTGCAGCTGAATGTGAGCAGCTCGAAACAGTCTCGAACAAACTTTCTGTGCTTTTTTGTGTCTCAAGTGGTCGCACACAAACCCTCGAGTTTTTTTTTTCAGCTCATCGTTGTTGCGTTGTAATAACATATCGGAATGAATAGCGAAGAATTCACGAGAAATATGCGAGAGTGTTTGAAAAAGAAATAACTGTGATTGGTACGGGATGCGGTGTGGAGAGCTGAACTATCGTTAATGACTTTTCTTTAATAAGTGAAAATTTCTGAAAATTGACACATCTATATTATTTTTTTGCACATATATATATTATTTTGAAAATTTCTGAAAGTCAACACCTACATACTAATAGTATCGATGACAGAACATGTACTTAGCGTAGGTGTTTGTGAATTTGCTTTTATTTTGTTCACTCGTGTTTGCGTATTTGCACGTAAAGTGAGAAATGTGTGACGATTGGAGTCGTTTTTCAAGAAAAGAGCTTTATTCTCTCACATATTTGACGCATTTCGTGTCATCGTTCATTCCTCATCTGAGAAAGATTCACAAGTATCCGTTTCCTGTTGTACTTTTGCAACTTATCGCTCCGGATATCGATGCCAAGGTGGTAGCTGATATGAGCTAATAGAATTTCCCGAGTCGATATATCATAGTGATGGAGTAATCATTTTCAGGCGCAAACATTTTCTTCAAGAAATATGCCTTCAAGAAAAACTATACCATTTGGGCAAGGAAATATATTTTTGGGTATTTGGGCAAGAAGGATTTTTTGGAAACGTTTAAGTTGTGATCCTTTTGGTATTTGCCGTATGAAAATCGAGCCGAATCAATGGGCAGTCTTGTTTTTGAGCACTTTTCTCTTGTAAATTTCTCAAATGATCTTCGTTCAGACGCTTAAGATCGCTGAGAAATTTGTTTCACTTTGATTGTGAGAATGAGAACTTCGTGTGTGTATGAATGTATATATTTACAAAATCATTTTTTGCCAATCAACCAAAACTGTCCGATAATTCAGTGAATATAATGAGTCTTAAATGGGCAATTGCATTGAACTGATTGGAATGTGTGTATGTGTGTGCGTGTTTTTGTTATGCTTGAGTAGATGACTGTCTTATTTTTACTGCGTAATCGCGGCGTATTGATTAAGAATTTTTTAAATTGATTCGCCACTGATATGGCGTTGATAAGAACCGTATCATTCAACGATACAGCAGTCGACAGAATTTTTATGCTGGAATGCTGATTAGAGCTTTTATAGTCAA